AAGTAAAAAAGATAACTTGAAGAAGACACTAATTTAATGGTTTCTCTAGACCAGTGCTTCTCAACTGGGTGAATGGTTCACCCACGAGTTAATGAGACCAGAATCAGGGTGAATGAGCATTATCAATTATTCAAAAATTTGTTTTTAGTTTCTTTTAACCAATCTTTATTTTTATGAATATGGTTGACCAATACAATTGTGGAAAAGTATTCCTATTTGCAACTTAACACATGATGATAATCTAGGAAGCTATTAAGAGTGAAGAAATGAAACAGTACTAAGCTTCTAAGTGACAGAGTTGCTGATATAACTTGAGTCATAATATGCATGTACACACAAAAAATCAAATAGTTAAATAAGTACAACATTTTAGATATTCAAAAAATTGTTTTCAGCTCATGAAACCAATCTTACTTTTTGTATATTCAATAAGAATTAAATACACTTTATATATGATTTAAGAAGATTTGTTGTTTTTACAGTTCGTTCAGTAGGTTGAAGCTTTTGTGTGCTTTTGTTAGTAAAACAAACGCTTGAGCAAACAGCCTTAATTAGTAATTATTTTTATATAATTTTTATAAACCAGTAATACAATGCAAGCAGTTTTGAAATTAAAAATAGAAAAACTGGTACTTCTCTGTGCCATTGTTATTACCAGACAAAGGTATGTTTAATTAGGTTACTGCCGCTAGATTACGTTTGTTTGGATTGTTTTGAATTTCACGCGAAGCTTCTCGAGAGCAATCTGCACTAGCCATGATAGACTAGAAGGAATGCAGCTAATCAACACCACCTACCACCAATTCTTGGGTTACTATTTTAACAAGGAATAGTGGGATTGACCGTCATATTATGACGCCCCCCACGGTTGAAAGTACGAGCATGTTCGGTAACTAAGATTCGAACTTTCGACCCGCAATCTGCGGGTCGAGCGCCCTAACAACAACCACGAACCTGAGTCAAAGTAACTCAAATAAGTCAGCGCCTTTGACTGTTTTACCAGTCGGGTTCTGCATCGGGATTTTGTCCAATTTTGGACCAGGGAGAGTCAAGATCAGCTTTAACCTCTTGCTCCTAATTTACCAGGACTTACGTGCACCTGATTAAACAAAACGTGTAAACTTCCCTTTGAAACAGGTAACCAATGGAAACCATAGCTATAGATCTTGCCCAAACACAATATTCAGTATCGATTTCTGGTATTATTATTATTTACAAAATGTTGACGAATCTATTCAATTTATTGAAAGACAATGTGGACTCATTTTCAAAGATAAGCAGACAATGGCTATCAAATCTATATTAGACAATAAGGATACTTTCATTGTCTTATGAGAAGAAGAAAAGTTACCCTCGTTCTCCCGCGGTTTCGCGTACAATGCATTAAACCTACTTGTCCCGTTTGATGCAATTTCACAATGGATGCATTCAGTCGTTAATGTGTAGTGATAAAAGGTAGGCAGAATAAAATGATTAAATTAATTAGATTAACCTTCGATCTCTACATAAATGTCCATTTAATAAAAATAAATTAAAAATGCTCCCTAATGGCAGAGCAATATGTCTGCGGACTTACAACGTTAGAAATTGGATTTCGATACCCGTGGTGGGCAAAGCACAGATAGCCCTTTGTGCTTAACTTCAAAACAACCAACCAACCAATAAAAAATAATACTGGAAACTGACACTAGATATTGTGACTGCGCATGTCAAGTTTTTATAGGTTCACAACTCTTTACAGTGGGTGTCTGTGATTTGTTGGCAATAAATTTCAACAATAAACAGACAATGCACAATCCATTTTTTTAATATAATATACTCAAAACAAATGAAAAATATGTACAAAAAAAATGCTTTACACTATAGCTGGCCCAGCATGACCAGGTGGTTAGGGCACTCGACTCGCAATCTGCGGGTCGCGGGTTCGAATCCCCGTCCCACCAAACATGCTCGCCCTTTCAG